CAAGTCTCGGTGTGCGATTCCACCACCCTTCGAGACATTGAATAGACAGTCCTGCGCTTTGCCAGCACTTCATCAGATCTTTCTCCCTGCCGAAAATTTGCGGTAAAGATAAACTGAAGAACAAAAACCTAATTTGCAGAGTAGGGGTGTCGTAACAGGCTCAGATTGAAAGAGAAATAAAAAAAAAGGATTGAGGTTAGGGTTAGCGCTGTAGGGTTTAGGCTGAGCGCTTACACCCCAGAACGCCGAGGAGAGGACTTGTTCTTGTAGAGGCGACTCGAATCGCATCCCATCTTCTTCAGCCGGACAACGCACGTTCGTCGCGCTTCTGCCCACCGGCTGAACCAGAGTCTTCACATCTCTCTCTCTCGAACGCAGGCGCGCTCGGGATTCTCGGATTTCGTCGCGTTTTGTCCTTCGGATAGCTCTTTCTCCTTTTTTTCTTTGCAGGTGCCACAAAACACCCCTCGGTTTTGTGTGATGCTCTTTCTGGCGCGTCCTGTTGGCGCTCCGTCTAGAACTTTACGGATGATTCTGCGACGACGCTCGAGTTAGTCGAAGGAGGCCAAGATAACGGATCGAGATGATAGATAACAATAACCGAGTACCGAATTGTGTTATGATATAATCGATCAAGTCAGAACGCGCGATATACATTATGTGGATTTTAAAGAATAAGCCTCTTTGTGGGGGGCCGCCGCTTTAACGCCGAGCACTCACGGCCGCAGCCAACCCGCGCACTAACAGGGGCCCACGTGTCCAGTGGGCCCCGCCTGTTAAACGTGGCGTGCGAGTTGGCGTCGCGCCGTTAATGCGGTCGAGCAAATTAGCGCGGAACCGCGTTTTTTAAATACCGCTCAAGAATTTGATTTTTCAAGTAGCGTCTGAATTTGTAGACGATAATTACTTCTTTATAGTTATGATGTATCTATATACTTCTATATACTTCTATATACTTACTATTACTAAAAACTGTTACCCTTCAAAACGCCACAAGGCAAAAATGACACGTGGCAAATTCTCTTTTTTTTTTAAATCTATATCTTCTATTAAAATGTTACCTTGAACATGCCACTTGGCAAATTCACCTTTTTTTTAATTTCCTAAATAAAAATTAAATTCCTCTTTACCTGAGAACCACCTCCTAAACATTTAAACGTTATTACCCATCTCTTCAATTCCCAATATTAGCCTTTCACCCACATCCATTTTCACCCACCTTCTCACATTAAAACTTCAGCTCTAATTAATTCACCCTAAATTCGACCACAGATTTTTTCCCTTTCTTCATTTCCCAAAAAAGCCTCTTCGTGTTCGTCTCCTAGAAAAATTGTGCTCCGCCTCTTCGCCTCCGTCGAGCACAGAATTCGTGCTCCTCCTTGAGAACTCAATCGTCTTCCGTTTTGATTGTGATCAGAATTCATGCTCTGCCCGAAAATTTCAAAAGTAAGCCCCTCGAGCTTCTTACCCTGAAACCCTAATCAATGGTCGCTACTCTTTCCTCTTCATTTCTCGCCTCTCCAACATCCACGAAAATTTCTAGAACCCTACCATCTCAGTTCTACAGCCCCCTCCCTCTCCCCTCCTCGGTGCCCCTCTCTTCGTCGCGGTCGATTTCTAGGTATAATTTTTGCCTGCGATTTGTTCACTGAAATAAGGTCATTTTTGTGTGTGTGATGAATTCTTGTGATTTACTTGAGTTTTAGGAAAATATATAAGGTTAGGGCTGCGAGCTTGAAGGAGAATGATGAGGAGGTGATAGCTGAGGATTCTTTTCGAGTGAGGACTCCTCTTGATAATGAGAGGAAAGAGATGGACGCTGAGCAATCGGAGCCGGTGGCGGTGAAGAGATGGGTTATTAAGTTTGAGCAGTCTGTTAATGTTCTTCTCATTGTAAGTTCAATTTTTATTTCTTTTTCCTGTTTTTTTTGTTGTGGATGGTGGTTTCGATCTATCGCTGATGATAACGTGATATGTTATACTAATATAAGACAATTAGATAGAGTCTACGGAGTTCTTCTCCTTGAGAACGAAGATTCCAACCCCTCGAGATGTGAATGAGCTCTCTTGTGGGTCTCAACTGTTATTTTTATTTTCGGGCGGCTTGCTCGAGGGGTTCTAATTTTATCGGTAAAAATCCTTTAAAAAATCATATTTTGAGGAAAACATTTTTAATTGGATAACTTATATCTAATTTTCAGAAAAATTAGGGGGAAAATGTTAGATATGTTAAAGTGAAGAAAAACTCATTAAATACCTTGGGCTCTTTTTTTAAAAAATTAACTGAACATTTTTTTATCTTTAACAAATCATCATAGGCTATATACGTTTCGCTCATCTGTTAGAACTACAAGTAGATATAGTAGTTTAATATATTTTGTCTAGAGAGCTTTATTTTTTTTTTCTTTACTTTTTTAGCTATGTAATAATAAATGTACTTGACTCAATTGTTATACACTAAATATCCTGAAATTTGAAAATTCATATAAGATAGTAAACTTTTACTAATTAGAAATTAGTATATATCTTGCAATATCTTATTTTACGTAAGCAAATATGTGCACAAATGCCAATTGGAATTACTATGCGGAAAGTACTAATTTCATGATACATATAAAATCGATAATGCAATTGCTAAAGAAAAATTTTATGCTTATAGGCTACAAGTCATATGATAACTTATAAAATGATATTTAGCCAAGATGCATTTGCATCTATTAGCTTAATTATTCTATTGATAGACTATATAGCATATGAGACATTATAGATGTTAATGTAAGAAGGCGATCTGCTCTAATTCCCTATGCATCCCTGTTTCATGTTCATTTACTTTATGTTCAGAAGGTTATATGTCTTGGTATGTCCTATCTTATTGCTTTTGCCTTTCCTATGACCATAAAACTCCGGTGAAACAATAAGAGACATGGCGAGCTGCTGGAGATCAACAACTTGATGCTATTTAGTTGAGGTCAGATCTTTGGTGAATGGAATGGTTTTTTGAGCTCTATATTTTGTTGCTAAATGTTGTTATTTTTGCCTTTTTGGGTGTGATTTATGTTAGGAGTTGTTTTGATAGGTCTTTGATGTATACAGCTAGGGAGTTTTATGTTTCTTTGGTGTGATGTAATGAGATATATTGTTCAATTTATTCTTTGGTTGGGGATGTTGGTGATTACATGTAAGTAGATTGTAATCACCCATTTATTTCAAGAATGTATTGCTCGGCTGGGGTATTCTTTGAAGACCCCATTGTTGGCCTTCTTATTTTGATGATGTTTAACAAACAATTTATCACTAATGTTGTTTGTCTAGTATTTGTGTTTTCCTATGTATTGTAGACAAACAACGTAGTTGGAGGATGGATGGAATAGAGCTTCAACGATCATATCCAAAGGAGGTTGGCGGAATGTCGGTGAAGCCTTGCAATTCAAAGTTAAAGATCAAGTTCAAGCTTCATCCGCGAGATTACCAAGTAGAGCTTATTGAAGACCAATCAAGCTTGGGTAATTTAGTTTAGGATTTATATTATGTGTGTTAGATACTCTAAGCTCAATATAATATACACACACGTATTTGGTTTCAATGTATATATATAGTTATATATATACATGCATGGTTTTAGGTTTTCATGTTTTGGACATACTTGCAAAATACATGAGTTTTCACAAATAAAAATTCAATTTGAGAAATTCTTTTTCTAACATGTTTGTTTTCATGTTTATAAACATTTCGCAAAGTTTCATCAAGTTTGGAATTGATTTGTTATGTTTAATGGAATTTACAAAATCATGTTTTCGTTCGTGCACATGTTCGTGCATGTTTTACAAAACTGATGGGTTTTCACAAATGGGAAGTGATATTTGAAAAATTCTTTCTCTAACATGTTTATCTACATGTTTATAAACTTTCCTCTAGTTTTTACTATTTTTGGAGTTGATTTACTGTGCCAATTGATTTTACAAAATCGTATATGTTAACAGATTTTCAGAAACTGTATTTCTGTGTTCAAATATTTATTTCTCTCAACTGGGAAAATATTTTTCAGAAATTCTTTCTCTAACATGTTATTCTACATGTCTAGAACATTCCCACAAAATTTCATAATTTTTTTAGTTCATTTACTATTTTAAATTGATTTTACAAAACAGCTGCGTACTGCTACAGTCACTCCGGTCGACCGGAAATGTCTCTGGACGTTACTCAGCTTTGCATATGGCTCTCGGTCAACCGTACCGGTCGACCGAAGTTACTGTAGCAGCCGACCGTTTTTTAATGTTTTGGAGGTGTTTTTCTTGGTTTTTGGACTTGTTTCATGAGCCTATATATACCCCATGCCCTCATACTTCTAAGAGAACTTAAGAAATATTTTAAACAAGTTTAAAGAGTTTTAAACAAGGGTTTAAGTTTGTTTAGAAGCTTTTAAGCAATTGGGTGTTTGAGTTTGAGAATTCAATTCCACAAGAGCTTGAGGAGATCATCTATTAGAGTTTGAACAATCAACTATTCTCCCTCCATCTCTTGTCATCTATTGAGAAGTTTTCTAAACTCAATCTAGCTTTATATTTCATATTGTTTGATTATCATTTTATTAAGCTAGTATTCATATTGAGTTTAGTTGATTTTATTTTCTCTATGTTTATACACACAACCATTTGAGCTTATTGTATTTACATTCATAGTATAATTGGGTTGTGGGATTGTGTAACTTAGAGAGTGAGCTTATAATTCGTTCTCATTCATTGTAGAGAACAAGCACTTTGTATTGAGCCTAATTGTGAGGATTCACTTGTAATACACTTGTACACCGAGAGAAGTGTGTGGTGAGAGACGGGGTCGAATCCAAGAGGAGTGGCGTCGTCTGCCTTGGATTTTAAGTCATCCACACATGAGCGAAGATTGCTAGGTTTGCCTAGACAAAGCTCACTCATGAACCAAGGTCACACACCATTAAAATCTAGAAAAGTTGGCTAAATAGTGATGAGGCAGATGAAGTTCATGTCAATAATAGCGAACTTCAATTCCATAGAAAATTTCACTCAAGAGCCCAAATAGATTGAATAAGTAAACTCTATATTTGTAATATCTCATTGATAGGATGTATTCATTTGTTCATATTGCTTATCCTAGCTTACGTATCTTGTTGTATTTTATACTTGCTAGGATAACGTATTAATTAGTTTTTTAATTGGCATTTAATCGGATTAGATTAGCATAAGACCCTAATCACCCCCCCTCTAGGGTCTAACAATTGGTATCAGAGCTTGGTGCTCTTTGGTTTAAGGTCTAATCACCT